TGCGATGGCGAGTACAATTAGGGATTAATAGTACGAGCCGCCGGGGCGAGTCCAATTTGGCAAATTTCCAAACATCACGAGTACTATTAATCCATAATTGTACGAGCAACATCGCATGATTACTTGTTTATTATTAGCATGACAAATCTGGATACTTCTCAATGTTAACATCATATACTCTCTCGCCAAAGCCCAGTCCTGCCAGACTTTGGTGCTTTGTCCGTATTTTCATTTAGTTCTTTTGTTAAAACAAAATTTGGTACTTTTGTTTGTATTTTTATCTGTGTTTAAAATACCTTTCCGCCATTTTGTTTGTTTTGGGAAAATCATTAATTGTACTGCAGTACAATTAATGAAATAATTGTACTCCTCTCAACCAATCAGCATCCAGTAATTTTGTCATGCTAATAATAAAAAGAATAACACTATGGTTTTATGAACTGATAACTTGATTAGCGATACGGTCCGTTAGAAAAAAATGGAATTAGCTGGGAGAAATGGTGTAGAAAACTGTTTACGACTTTCAAAGCTATTGGACGTCAATGGCCGCCATCTTGGCTTCACTTTTCTCACAGACCGAATGACTCACGTTCTTGCTCCAGTTATATATGGAGCTCACTGTTTCGCATAAACTAAATATCGTGCTTTACTATTAATAGTTTCAACCAGTAGCAATTCGACAAGAAGTTCAAAAAATCGGAAGAGTGCGCAAAAAGTTCCTTTAGTTTCTTTCGGCTCATTGCGAGCTGAGAGACCTTCAGACGAAGCTACTGATACGGATGGTGGTGAACGAGAAAGGAGAAAGAGGTTCAACAAAAAGAAATTTGAAAATGAAGCAAGAACCACGAGTGACGAAATAAGCGAATCCGAAACAAGTGCTGTTGAACAAGGAATTTCAAAGAGCTCCAGCAGAGAGAAATCTGAAAAAATAACAAAAAGAAGTCATCCTATCAAAACTAGGATTCGATTTAATGAAACCAAAGATACTCATGAAAATTCTGTACGAGAAACAAACTTTAATGAGAGGAATGATTCAAGAACGTATCCCACAACTAGAACAACGACTGGATTGATAGTCAACGATACCGAAGAGAATATTGTTAAGCATGCTAAGTCAACAAACTCTAGCAAAAGACAGCAGTGAGTATTATTATGTTCAAAGGACCGAGTTAATCGGCGATCATCGAACCTTGGATGTCCGATACTTTTATATCATCCTGGAAATGCATACCGTAAACCTCCGACTATAAGCCCTGGGCTTATATAGTTTCGTAAGCGATTTTTGATGGGCT